AACCAAATGATCTTGTATAATTGATCAATTAATCAATAACAGAAGCAAAGAATCATGACTGAATTATATGATGTCAAAGTAATAGACTAAGAGACCTCAGTCTAGAAACCTATACTAAATGCTTAAGAGAATGTCTAAAAAAAATGCAAAAAGATTAATAAAATATCTGATATTTTTCTGAAGTGACGAAGTCTATATAAATAACATGCTTTCATTGTGCAATTAATTACTTATGCAATATTGCAGTAGCCAAGGTGATATTGTGCTATTTACTCAACAGAAAGTTTCCATTTGAGGATTCATTATTTTCTCCATAGCTATCAAGTAACTGGAGACAGGAATTACTACAGATCTTGTGTTCCAGAACTCTCACTACTGATGACAAAATAAAAAGTTAAGTTACACAGTAAAATTTTTGGACAGTTCAACTGAAATCATCTTGCCCAATTCCTCTATGTGAAATCCATCATTCTTTACTCCTCCCCCCCTTAACTCTCCAAATTGCCAATGAAAAAAATTCCATGTCACAAATAAAAATTAAAGTTTATTATAATCATTCAAAATCTCAGTTAATACTGTGAAAACAGTCTCACTAAGCCAAAGTATTTAAGTTTGAATCGATTTTCAAAAAGACAACTTTTCATCACCACCTGTGAACAAAATTTTACACATTTATAATTCGTATTTTAAAAGAGAAGCACTATATGTCAGATTCTACTCCCCAATCTCAGACCTAGCTACTTTAAATTTACAACAGAACTCCTATTTCTTTCAATGCACAAAAACATTATTCGTTAGTCTCATTCACTAACTTTAATCACTAATTATGAGATTGCTATAATTATTATATTAAGCTCTGGACAGATTGCCTTCTCATGGCAGTTAGGCAAGTGTGTACAAGTGTACAAACATACAAAGATGCTTGTTTGACTCTCCTCTCAGAGAACGTTGGAGTGGTATTTGGGGGGTTATCCTCCTTATTTTGGCTAGTTGTTTGAGATTCATTTCCTTTCCATGAGCCTGGCTGCTGTTGCACAACAACCTGAAATTCTTGTGTTTCTCTGGGAGCTGAGAATGCATTATTCACAACCATCTGGGACAGAAGTGTGCCAGGAAGAGAAACCTGGATGTCTCTACCTTCATTCTGAAAAAAGAGATTCTAGTTAAGATATTGACACAACCAGGAGGGCGCCCCCCCCCCCCCCCACAAAAAACACACACACACACCAACCTCCAACTACCATACACTAAACCTGTAAACTAAAACAAACTCTTTACATAATATACACAAGATTCAAATATAATAAAGATCACAAACTTTGTTACCTTTCTAAGCCAGCAAATTTCAGAAGGCTGCTAGGGTGCTAATGACACACAGTAGGCATATTAGTTTCACATGTATCTTGATCTTTATGCTACAGCGACAAATCAGTTATATTGAAGCAGCCAAAGCACAATTACATTTATCATTCTGCATTATTTGAAATTCACCATGTTTGCTCTGTGTTCACAATAGTGCGATTCCAATAGTCCTATATCACAGTACCTAGCTGCTAAAAACAGAATCCACAAAAACTATGCAATACTAGGATATAACTAAGATAGTAGTGTGAATGTTAGTTGAAACTTTTCAAGCTCTTCCATGTAGCAGGTATACTTAAACACTTTAAATTCAGGCTTCCTCTAAACATAGCTGAATTAGGAAAACAATGATTCAAACAAACTTCTTAAGCAAGTTAGAGTCACAGTGTAGAAGAGCTTCATCAGCTGAAAACATTGTTATAAGCTTAATGACAATCTCAAAAAACCTGATTACAATTACTCTATTACTCCAAATACTTTTAATGCTGATTCAAATTACAGAACTGCAACCTGCTTTCTACACCATTAAAAACAAAAACAAAACACAAACTTCTTACTATCTCATTTTTGAAGTTCATGGTGTTCTTGAAGAATTTGGAATACTTTAATAGGGAAGACAATGGACATTAGAAACATGCTGAAATGCAGAATGAGTCTTATATTTTAATTATTACAACCTGTATAAATATATACACACATGCACACACACACACACACACCTGTGCATACTGCCACTAGCATTCCCTCTATAGATTTACTTTACTATTCTGGGTATGTTCTTGTCTTTCTTCTTCAAAAGACTTTTTAGCATCTTAGCAGGTTTAATAAGAGTAACATTCATTTGTGGATGCCCCATAGACCAAAATCTGACTGGTCTATCCCAACTAACGCAACTAAGTTGCCCAAGTCTGTAAAATAAAAGTTTAGTAGAAAGTTACACAAAAGTTTCTTACCCATGTGAAATATCTAAACGTTCAATACAAGAAGAAGAAAAAAAACCCCACTATTTGAAGCTTTTATTTCCCCTTTTATGACAGTTTTTCTATTATTTTTGTGAAGCCCAAAATAGCTTAATAAAGATGAAAATAAGTGGCTAATACTGTTCAGCAATTTTTGCACAAATTAGCCTGCAGGTTCAAAACTGTCAGTCTTCAGTCAGTGTTACTGGGGCAAGTAATGAAGTTCTTCCAGTTAGTATTGATCTCAGAGCAGGATGCTGGCAAGAAGATTCCCTTTCAGGCAGAACAAAGAACAAAGCTCTATCACTCAAGCAGAAGATTGGTGAACATCTCCCCAAACTGGCATTGTCTCTAGCAGCCAAATCCAATCAATTACATGCTTCACAAATACAGACATACTGTTTGCTTGGCAGCTTAGAAGTTGGCCAAACATACCACTTGGGGTTTGTTAGCCTAAGCCCCAACAGGAACTGAAAAGTCACAGCCATCAATTGGTAGCATAACATTATACAGAAGCTTATTGAGAGAATCAATTTTTGCAATTGTGGTTACCTAACTTTCAGAGCAGCTCCCTACTGTCATGAATAGATGTAGGACCCATTTGAAAAATTTATTCCTGATGTAGCGAGAGAGCATTCTTCCCTTCCTCCAAAGCTTGACATTCATCCCAAAAGTAATGGCAACTCTACCAATTGATTTGCATGGAATTAGAACACTGCCTCTGGGTGAACTCTACATTAATTTACATTATTACAATCAGGGAAGGGGAGGGGAGCAGGGAAAGGCAAATAAGACACACTAGGGTCTAGAGAGTTTCAAAACATGATGAGTCATCTAGAATTTAAGTATGGGGGGTAGATTCATCCCATCTAGCTTTATGCACTTCAGTTAGTAAAAGGGAGCCATGGAAGGAGGAAAGGGGCACACTTTCTGAAACCAGTTCAACTGAGCCTTTCTTATAAAGGGAACACTAAGAACCAAAGATGACCCAATAAAGACTGAGCAAAGATGTTTTAATAAAAGCTTTCTTCTCTTTTGAGAAAGGCTTCTTGAAAAATCTTTCCCGCAGGCAGATATATAAACTCAGCTTGAGTGTGTTTGGGTATGCTTTTTCACTGAGAGAAGATTAAACAGCAAGGAAATAAGTTAATTTCTCTTCCTTTGTTTGTTGTCAGTACACTCCTAGAGATTCTGGGAGAGAAGGCAGCACATATCATAGTGAGCATAACTTTGGAAAAAGATACCAGCAGAAAAGGTAAAATTCACAGAATAAAGCAACAACCTACCCAGCATCTTTAAGGAGGTCTAAAAAAGCATGAAACTTTTGGAAAGAGTTCTCAATGCTGCCTAGAACACCTTCATCTTCCAAAATCATGTTGGTTACCAACTGTGCATGAAGAACCTCAGATAGGGAGATGTTTAGGTTCTTCAACCTTGCATTTTCAATTTCCAACTATAAAAAAAACCAGGAAAAAAGTTTAAAGCCATTTCTATCATTCTCAGTTCAAAACAAAGAGAGACCTTTGCAGGCCTACAGTGCGGTAGCGCAAAGAGAAATACCCAACATAAGTGGTATATAGCTTTCTGTACCAGAAATAGTCAGGTTACTGTTACATAGATCTCTGTGCAGGTTTGTTTATCCACAGCTGCAATTCTATGCTATCATAGTCAATTCACTTAAGGTACTCAAAACTACCAGTTCAGCACTGTCTTTAGCATGAACATAATGCTGCAGAGTAAGTGCAAGCAAAAGGTTAGCTTTCAAGCCATGTTATTTTGCACTTGCTATATGACACAAAGACCAACGCGCAAAGTACTTGCTGTTTTTAGGAAAAAAGAAACCTTAATGAAGGCCAATGTTCCCCCTCTGTTCAGCCCTCCATATCAGAGCTAATGCACATAACTGTCTGTCTCTCCTGCTCTGCATCCCAAAAATTGAAAGGTTTAAAGTGATGCTATTTTTCTTCACATTGAATGGTAATCAAGTCAACATCATCATCTGAAAGCTGAACAGTAACAGTAGGACATACAAGGTTTGGTGTTCAAGTGAAGCATTAACTCAGATGCCCATTTAAGTTTATAGCTGTGCAATCACTGCCATACCACAGGCTTTCCTTTTTCATCTTTTATGAGATAAGATTGGAAAAATTACAGATCTGTGCAATCTATCGTAGTTGTTAAACTAGCATCACTGAAAGTGACAGGTGTAGAGATCACTGCTATTTAGCTCATCTTTTCCCCTCAGACAAGGTACTAAGCCCAAGCAGTATAGTATGATGTAGAAAGATTCCTTGCAGGGGGCATTTAGACTAAAAAGCATCCAAGTCTTCAAACAACTCAAATCCAGCAAACCCCACTGGCCCACTTGACATTACAGGAGGATGGCCAAGCTGAAAGATTCCAGATATCCTTTTTGGATATCTGCTCCCTCTACTGTAGATGATGTCAGGAGGTACCATGCGTTGCTCAAGTTTCAAAGGGTACCACCACTTTCATTCCACTGCAGATTGTATCTAAAAACCCAGATCCGCTCATTTACACTTTCTTATACTGAACTCTGTTACAAGAAATTCTGCTTACTAGTTACTCTTGATTCAAAAGGGTCTCTTCAGGTCAGCAATACCAACTCAAGTTAAAAATAAAGGGACAGGATAAGCCAAATATAATAATATTCACAGCAAACAGCTTTTATATGAGCAAGCTGCTCATATAGTAACAAAGGTGAGAGACCTCAGATAGCAATCCATCTGCTATATATTACAAGCAAAATTAATTACTTTCTCTAGAAAACAATCAGGATGCCCTGGATCATAACTAATACACTGAATGAATGAAACACTTTGAAAAGAGTAGCTAAACCTAGAGTTCAAGGCTCTGGAATAGGACCAATGGCAGGAAATCAGGAGAACACACACACATTACTAAATACGGATTTCATCACTGCCCTTAGGCTGGTAAGTGATCCATGGGACTTTTAACTGAAACTCTGGAAACTACCAGTTTTGAGGTTATCAATAACTAGTCATAATTAAACAAGTGGATAGCTTGATTTGTGAGTCCTTAAAAGTAGAGGATTAATACTTAACTATCATTACCTCCATTATCCATTCCTCGACTTTTACTCTGACTCTTCTTTCTTCCTTTAATTTTAGCAGGCGTTCTCCCAGTTCCAACTATCATAAAACAGAAAATTAATCTCAATGTCAGACCAACATACAACATTATACATATTTAAAATCAACACGTTAAATTAACAATTCGCATGTGGAATTCCAAGCAATAACATATCTTCCACAAAAATACAAAACTCAGGTCTACCAATATATAAATCTAGGATGCAAAAAAATCTAAAACAGAATAGCGGACACAAGTGCAATTCACTTTTCTATTACTGTATCGCAAATGTGTTAACGTAAAATTATAGCACAAATTCTCTTGTGTCTATGACACTACCATCAGGAACGTATGCTACTCTCTATCTCCTATTCTCCCTCCCTTCCCCCTTTTAAACCTCATTTTAAAACTAAAATATGACTACCCAGTCAAAATATCATGTTGAGCTCTTTAAAAAAAAAAAAAAAACTAAAAAACTCATTAGTAGCCATACCTAAATTTTCAGAAGTTATTCTTCACCCAGGATTTTATTCCTTATTGCAGGAATAGGAATATAATAATTCTAAACCATAAAAGTAATACTTTCTCACTTGTTTCAGTTAGTTATTCAGTTGGAAGAAATAAGTTTCAGGATCTCAAGCTCTTGGAATGAGTTAAGCAGCTTTGTTTTGATTTAATCAAAAATCAAAGCATCTAGCAAACATATTTTAGTCTTATTCATGAGATGCCTTCACTTCTATTTTAATTTTTCCTTTTAACTAGTGAATCTTTCAGTGAACAGTAATCAGGATTTGATAACTAATCACCAAGTCTTTTCCTATCATGGCAGAGCAATATCATCTTTAATTATAGTATCTAAAGTGGAAGAACAGATGGGATTTTTTTTTTAATGACTTAATGAAGTCTTCCACTTCCAAAGGAAGAAATTGCTAAAATTATGAAGCTGTTCTGTTTTTCAAAAAGGGTAAGCTATATGAGTTCACAGTACATAAAGCTTCTTCACTTGTCTACATACCTTGTACATAGGCACATATATGCAATATTAAACAGACACTGCTTTTTCTATATATGTTATCAGTCAGCTCTACAGAGGAGCAAAGATCCAAACAGCACTCAAAATCTTTCTTTACTATCAAAAGCTTATTCAAGAGAGCATACTATTGCACTTCATGCAAACAATCAACTGAAAAGATTAGTGTGCAACAGAATGAATAATAAAAATAATCCTTCTATAAATGCAAGATAAGTCCTCACAGCTCTTATAGGATGTGAGAGACAGACATTTGCATGATTCAAAAGATGCAGATTCTAAAATATTCTAGATATAGCCCTCCAGTGACAACCACTCAGAGTGAAGATTAAGAGCATGTCTCCATTGCCCAAGGAAGCCTGCTCTTAAGATCCCTAGACTATCATCAACCAAGTTAACCCTGGAACTAGAAGGCTACAGTAGTGCCTTTATTACCCAAACACATAAGCAAAAGGACTCTCAGAAGTTAGAAGTTTTAGAAATACCATTTTCCTAAGACAACATTTGGAAAAAAGATTTATCAGTACCTAACAAAAATACCTTAACCTAATAAAATCGCCTCAGGGCAGGTGGGGGGGGGGCAGAAGGGGAAGCAAGATCAGGCACAGGTACCACAAATCAGAAGAATTCCTACTGTTCCATTTCCAGCATGTATTTTTATATATATACACACACACACATTTGTGTATATATGTATATTTTTTCAGTCTTCAGGTTTTTTAATAACTCTAGTTTTAAAATTGAAATTCTACAATTTTGTTGTGCAAAATTTGCAGAAAATTCTAAAGATGACAGTGCTGACCTCTTTTCCCAAGTTGCTATTTTCTTCTCTGAAGGGCAAAGGCTTAGAAAACAGTTAAATCATGATTTTTTTTTAAGCGATAAAATCTGGGGTTTTCTTAGTTCTGATTCATCACACAGTTGATGCAGATATTACTTAATGGTTAATAATGACTTCCCCCAAAAAAATTTACAAACACCCAGAGCTACATTGCCTCATAAGCAATATGAAGCCTACATATTAAAGAAAGATGCCTTGTACCTGTATGAACATATTTGTCACTACTAAACTACAACTATATGAATTGCTGACTTCAAACTTCATTTTCTTATGGTAACAGTTCTATTCTTAAAGGCTCCCCCTCTCTCAATAAAAATGTTACTATTCTTCCAGGTAGATATTCTTAAGTCACTTGGATTTTTAGTGTGAATCAAACTAGAGTTAGTAGAAAGTCTACTATTAAAGCCACCCAAGAAATGGAGTTAGAGACTGAAATGCAGTTGAGATTAATGCAAAGCTTGCCTCACAGACAACTCTAAACCCCACATCAGAGTGCTAGGAGCAGCATGATGAAGTTATTTCCACAGGGGTCCACCTAATGCATGAGGAAGATAAAGCACAGTAACTGCATCTTGCTTAAACTAACCAACTTCAGTCCATATTTATAAAAATACTTTTCTTGGCAACAATAAATTTGGACTCCAATTATTCTTGTATAAGTTTTGCTGGGTCTACAACTTGAACAGTTAGTTGTCTCAGGAGCTAGCTCATTTTCAACTACAAAAAAAAAAATCTTTAGATGGAAAGAATAAAATTAAACTTCTCAATGCCAGAACATCTTAATTTTGTTTCACTGCACACATAAAAGAGCAGCTATACTAGGTTAAACAAAAAGTTAATCTAACCCAATAACATGTCTCTTGTCTAGGTATCTGCTGCTGTTATACAATATCTGAGTATAAGGATAGCAAGCATATTGTCATTTCTCAACACCGTCTTTGGTCCTTGAGCTGGGACAATGGGGGCATCTTGTATTGTAGACATCTTCAGTGAATTTTTTTTAAGCTATTCAGTCTCTCCAAGAAACTATGCAAACTTTTACCATCTAGTACACCTAATCATATGTACAATTATAGTCCACTATGCTAGAGCTACATAGTGCTGCTAGTGTAGTACAGAAGTCCTTTGTCTTAGCTGTCCTTCAAATTTATTGGAAAGTTTCCTATATTTAATGGCATCAATTAGTAGTGAACAGCCCTTGCAGACTTGAAAACGCAACCCAAAAGGCAAGCAGCTATATGCTATTAAGAAGTAATGAAAAACCACCACTTCTTAGGCATAACTAGATGGAAGGGCTGTTGTGAAGGATATCCAGCATGTAGGCAATACCCACCACAAATAGCCTCTAACATACAACTACCAAGACATGATCTTCTGTAGTTGCAATGACTTACTATGGGGCCATTCAAAAGCCTACCTAAGTTCTCTTTCTAAAGCAACACACAAGCACCTTAATGCATTTCCTACCTAAATATAACCATGGAATTTATGAATTTATACAACAGGTGCTGTAGTGTCTTTCAGATAGCACGAAATGAAGCTGTCACCTCTCAAATAAACACAAATTCTACATTCTACTCTATGCATGAATTCTACTCTTGAAAATTAGCAGTTAGCCTTTGGCAGGTTTAAAAAAAAAAAAAACAAAAAACAAAAACAAACTGAAACTAGAGGAAGTATGGAAGTACTAGGGATTATCGTCCATGCCATTCAGGTGGCTCTGGGAGCAAGTATGAGTTAGGCTGCTTGCTACAAGAGTAAGCTGCATTTTCCAGATAGAAAAATTACATCTTACCTCCCCTGTCAAAAAACAAAAAAGCCAAAAAAAAAAACAAAAAACAAACCAAACAACACCAAACACCACACACCAAAAAATCCACAAACTCGTCCGCCTTATAGAAATAAAACGTAATTTTTTGTAAATAGTCAAAAATCATTGTAGTTTTCTGCAACAAAACTTTATGACTAACTGCATCTTTGATACCTCTGACATTTTACTCCCTGAAAGTCAGCAATACAGTGCTTTTTGTCTATATGGAGCACCTTCAGACACCACCTCAAAAAAAGTCAACTGTTTTTCTCTTCATAATATCCAGACTTCTGTAACTGAGCTCAAAAATCAACTACAAATCCTAATATTAAGGTAAAAGAATTGTTTCAGTTTCAAAAGAATGTTAACCTCCAACACTAAATGTGTTCATCTTGCTAAACAGGTGGAATATTCCATCCTGAGTACCTGCACTGTTCACATGACAAGCAGTAAATGTGTTATTTACAACAGCCTACACACACGGCTTATGAAATCATGGATCAAGGTTGCTATGTTCTCAGTTGTGGAAGAGAGGCAAAGTTACTTAGCAAGCTGGTGGTCAGTCATTTTTTATTTACACTGTTGATCAGGTATGCAAGATTACTAATATCACCAGTAAGACTTAGATACTCTACTACCTTGATGAATATAAAACAAGTGTCTTGAGTTGAGTGAACTCTTAGTATATGGAAATTCCCCAAGGAGTTGCCTCTTTTCACAGTTCAACTTTCCATCCATCTTGAGCTACATTCTCTCCAGGCAGATGCTATTTTCATGGAATCCCTGCAACATTTCACAAGTGTTGATTCCATCTGCTAAGGAGAAAGAGTACTCTTTCACAACCAACCTCAGTTTCTCCAAAAGGTATTTAAGAGGTTGAAGAGGGGAAATGTATTAATCCCCAAGAAATTCTACATGCAAACTTCTCAGTTTAGAACACATTCCCTACAGAGCCACAGCTCTGACTTTCAAGCCTTTTCAAAGCCAAAACAGCAATAAGTTCCATAACAAAATTGTTGCAGTTGTCAAAAAGCAAGAGCAAATGACTGTACTCATTTACTTGCTAACTCCTTTGGGAACAGGATCAGATTTTTGAGTTATGAACAAGAGACTCTATATTTAAACAATATATGGAATCGTAAGTGTTCCAGATATTCAGTTTATGTAAGTTACTATAAACTCTCTACAGAGTATTAGATAGAGATGGAAATGGGTACTGCACTCACTCGAGTTACTCAAGACTATTATTTCCAATATTAACCATCTAAGAAACTACAGTTCAGTTAACTGAAATTAAGCTTAATTTTTGTCAATAATTTACATAGCTAAGAATTAAGCTATTTTCAAACTTAGTCTTAACTTGTGAATTCCTTTTTTTTAGTTAAGTTGATGTTTGTGTGTTGAGAGACACGCATACTAAAAAACTCTAACAGCAATATTAACTTATGTTCTAGGATAATGCATAAATGTACACATACATTTCTATTTTTCTTCTCATTAAACAAGTATCCTGTTTCTATTATGTTACATCTTAAACTACATAACAGCATACAAAATGCTCAGTACAGCATAGCTCTTGTTGCTGCTAGTGCTGAAGTTTTTCCTTTTATAGTTTTTTTTAAAACTGCTTAAAAGTTAGCCTTGTGTTTATAACTGGAATAACTGTTTTATATTAATTCTGAACAAAGTTGACCTTATAACAAATGCAATGCCAACTACAAAATAAAAAAAAATAAAAACACACTATGAAATGCTTAACACATACCTCTGAATTCACATTATTTCCATTCATAAGAACTCTTCCAATAATGCTTTTCATCAAAACATGATCCAGAATGAAAGATGCTGTATTAAGAATTTCCTGTATGAGACTTGCACTTATGCAAACAAACAGATCATTGAATAAGCAGTATACATTACCTGCCTTCCTTCCCACACACTTTTTTTAACTGCTTAGCAAAATGCTATTGCAGGGGTTTTTTTTTCCCTTGAAAATTGTATATTCCCCCCCCCCCCAAGAGTTACTGAAAAAATTCCACAGAGGACGTAGATAGATACAAATACATACCAATTAAGGGATTTTTTTTTCTTATATCAAGTACCACTAACATTATATTATCTTGAAGAGCATCAAATAGTGACTTTGCTCCTTTGTTGGATATTCCGCACTGCTGCGAATCGAGTGCTAAAATGTTTAAGGAGAAGGGGAGGGGAAGAAAAAAAAAATGGCATAAGCTGTAGTCAATATCGACTACAATTAATCCACCTTTGCGGAACACCTCCATTTCACAGAATGGATGAAATAATGTTACAGTTAACAGCCACGTGTACAAACTACAATATTATTTTCAGAGGTGGAAATTAGAGATTTAGATCAGTATTATAAATCAACAACTGCAAATTGAAATCAATTGATTTATTCAATAAATAAATTGAACAGCTGCAGAGAAAGGAATATCAAACCACAATTAAATGGCTGTTCTTGAAAATTACTACTGGATGTAATATTGCTAGATACCAATTAAGATAGCTGCCCAAAGTACCTTAACATATACAAACACACAACTTAGTCTGAAAAGCCTGAATCAGTGCTTCTACCAGATCATCACTAGCACACATGAATATATTACTCAGTTGCCATAAAATAGCACTCATGGCTTTTGGACTTTTTTCCCCATGCTGAACATGCATATTATGCATGCAATCTCTACAGTCTGCTCAGATAAACTGTAGAAATTCCAATAGGTAAGTAATTGTTTGATTCTTTATACAGAATGCTATGACTTAGATCACCAACATTAGAGTCACTTAGTACATACATACTATACTACAAGTTATTCATCCAGAATACTAGAGAATTCTTGGACATTGACTATTCAGATAAGAGAGGAAAAGAAGTTTCTTTTGAAAAAAAGATTCAACTTATTCTTTGCTAGTTAAATGGTGAATTACTCATTTGGCTACATTTGCTATAATTGCCAACTGCAGGTTTCCTGCCTGCCTCTACTATATCTTAGAATCAGTATTTCACAATACCTTTCAGCCACAGGTCCTCTCCTAGGCATTCTGCAAAGGCACTGGCTCCTCTATCTCCAACAAGCATGTTGCAGTTAAAAGCAACGTGCCTCAAGCCTGTCATACAGCCCAGGTCAGGTCTCCTATAACATAGCCTTTCAGCCCAAGCTGCTTTATGTCTTTTCATTGCCTGGTGCTTTACAAATGAGAAAGTTGTTATCAAGTGCAAAGGAAAAGCTGTTATGAATGACAAGATTTTTTTTTTTGTTAGAGTTATCTTTTCTCTTTTGTTCATTCATGGGCACTGGTAATGAGCAGCAGGACTCAGATTTCTTAGTTGCTAAGTTTTTTATTGCTAGCAATAAGGTGCCTCTTGGCTGGGAGCACAAGAAGGACCCTGATCAGTTCTTTGTTATATCTTATAAGCAAAGGTAGGTTGTTACATATTCAATACTTTGGTTATGTAAACTAATCAGATTATCTATGATTTAGTTTTACCAATCCCTTTGCCACATTACAGTACGAGGCAGTTCCGCGCCAGCCTTAAATGGTCCAGCTTATGATTATTCATTAGCTGACTTTGCACCTCTTCTGGTGTCACCTTTGAACAACTTCTGTACTGCCGGCTGGATTAAACTGGTCTCTTTGCAGTTCTTCAACTGTACAAAAAACAGGAGCTGAGGCAAGGTCAGATGAGATGTGCTGCTTGCAGGGTGCATGACCTTGCATGTTCTGTCTGCAAAAACTAGAGTATAGTGGAAACTTCCTTAACATTTTGTTTATAATTAATGTTTAATAGTTTAGTGTTGATACATAAGAGACTCAGTTATACCATTTCCGAGTTCAAGAAATACCATCATCATTCTTAAACATTATAGTTAACTTATGCTTGCTTTGATCTTTCAATTCACAATGCAAATTATTAAATATGGCCAGAAAACTCTAAATATCTTACTACCTTGTTTTTGTCAGATAGACATTTTCAACACATCTTTAGTAGGTATTGCACACTATGAAGTTATATGCTTTCATGCAGACCAATATTAAGATTGGTTAGAACAACATATTTATATTGTACTAGTCAGAAGCTTACTAGTCTCTAAACTGCAAACTCAATTTCATTATTTTTACCTAATGCTTAAGAATACTTAAAACACTTTGAAAAAATTTGTGCAACACTGATGAAAGAAGCTCTCCCTAGAACAGAGATGTCAGATGCTTATGGGGCTAATTCTCATTTAAAGAAAATATGACAGACAGTCTGAACTGCTATTCCTTTAAATGATTATTAAGAAACACCATATTTTAATCCCACACCAGTAAATCAAGCAAGCAAACAGTGTATGATATAGTATTGCATTTATTATCAAATTATTACTAAAAAAGGTTGTATTTGTTTACAAGCTGAATATAGCAATCATGTTTTCAGTTTGTTAAGGAAATTTCCACTATGCTCTAGTTTTGCAGAAAGAACATGCAAGGTCACACACCCTGCAAGCAGCACATCTTACCTGACCTTGTCTTAGCCCTGCTTTTCATACAGTTGAAGAGCTGCAAGGAAATCTGTTTAATCCAGCCAACGGTACAGAAGTTGTTCAAAGGTGACACCAGAAGAGGTGCAAAGTCAGCTAATGAATAATCATAAGCTGGACCATTTAAGGCTGGTGCAGAACTGCCTCGTACTGTAACACGGCAGGGGGATTGGTAGAACTAAGAGTCATGGATAGATCTGATTGGTTATGTAACAACCTACCTTTGCTTATAAGATATAACAAAGAACTGATCAGGGTCCTTCTTGTGCTCCCAGCCAAGAGGCACCTTATTGCTAGCAATTTAAAAAAAAAAAAAAAAACAAAAAAAACCCACACACATACAAAAAACACTTAGCAATCAAGAAATCTGACTCCTGCTGCTCATTACCAGTGCCTACAAACAAAAAAACAGAACAGATAATATTTTATTGTTACTTAAGTTCTTGTGAACACTTACGGTTAAATTACCTTTAAAACATTTGTCATATGTTTGGCCCCTTGCCAGGTAAGGCTATATCCTGTGAAATTTATGTATCTGATACTACCTGAATTCTTCACACCCAGACAGATTACTAAAGAGAACAAGAGCATTTATGTTATATACACACACACACACAAAACAGCCAGATCATCAGAACAAACACACTTTCTCACTGCTGTATTAAGAAGCTGAATTAGCTTTAATAGGCAAGCCTTTTGACAAAGGACTAGTGTTGAAAAACAAAGTATATTTCAAATACATTTATCCATTGTAATTTCAAAAGATTAAATGTTTTTAGAGTAAGTATTTAGCAGAGACTGTTTGAACAAGCTAGAACATGTTTTAGTTCACTTGTGTAAACATGAACAAATCAAGAAAATATTTAAGTTTGAAATAAACTTTATGACTTTTGTTTTAAATAAGTATAAATCAACATTATTAAGTAGTACATCTGTTTTCTAGCATCAGGTAAACAAATTCAAATCTTTAAATATTGTAAAGCCATGCAAAATAAAATGAAGATTATTATTTTTAATCAGTGTGAATGAATTTAAAATTGGAATGGAAATACTGAAAAAAAACCTTAGGTTTACCTACTTAAAGCATTAAAAAAGAAGGGAGAGGTATATTTATGCCTTTACCAATCACCTCACAAGACTAGTCTTTTTTTTTTTTTTTTTGGCAGGAGTTGGCCAAAACTTCATCTCTGGAGAGTGTCTCCCTAGCCCACTGTCTGATTGGAGATGGAGCTTTAGAAAGTAAGTTTCAAAATTTAAACAAAAAAAAAAGTTTTAAAAATGGCTTGAAAAGCAACAATGACATACAAATAGAGAAGAGACCAAGACATCCAAACTGCTCAGCACAAACACTTTGTGTTCCCTGAAAGATGCAGAGGGGCCTAAAGCTGTGAAGTGGTTGATTTGTTTGGCACAGGAGGAACCTGAGCCTGCAGGAAACAAGCAGCCACCTCATTTCCTAGAAGCCACTCATGAGCAAACTGGAGTAGCTCTCCAAGGTGTGTCATCTTCTTGGTGCCTGGCAGCTTTTCTTCTGTCATGACCCTGCACAGTAGTGTCAGTCACAGGCATAAGTTATATGTCCCAAACACACAGTGGAAATGTTGAAAGAACCCTCCCAGAAGCCTTGATAAATCAGGGCAGGAGAAAGTTATGTGATTTGGATTAAACACTAGGTTATGCTAAATGTCTCAGCAGAATGGTTCATACACAGAACACAAAAGTGTCTTTCAAAACAGGCACATCCCCATCTGTGACAAATACATATAAAATTTCATTGCTACTTCTCTAGGTTCTAATCATAGAGTTTCATTTAATTGTATACCAATACATTCTCACCTTTGTTAAAAGTATTAGATCGCTCTCTCTCTCTCTCTCTCTCTCTCTCAGAAGCAACTCCTGCAGTTCCAAGTTTTTTAGTACATCTGATATACTTGGACAGCCTTTGACAGCTTTGCATAGCTGGCCAGTCAAGTCTTTTGATTAGAAGGAGAATTCCACCAATTCAAAGCAAGTTTTAGACCTTTCAACACCTGGTAAACAACAGAAATGGAGAGCAGTAACATTCAGTCCCTATTGACTTGAAAGCTATCATAAACACACCTCAGTTTTTTTGCTGCTGTTCTTAAACAGAAAGAAATCCTTAGCTATTAAAATTCTTCCCCTTCCCCCCTCATGCATTCATTACTCACAAGTTTTATGCAGAGTTTTAACAAAATCAAAATAATTACCATCTAGAGTCATCACTACAAACCTGATTCTTCAAGACCCCATTGATGAAAACTTCTGAATGCTATTGGGCATAATAAGACTCTGACTTCTACTGCAATAAGAAGTGGTGCCCAGTCAGCAGCTTTGGTGCTATCTACAGTTAGATTGAGAGCACCCCAATTCAGATCGGCTTTCACAGCTTTCAGTGGGACAGAACCTTGAACAGCACATAGACGTTCATAATGAGAGTAGAAATCCAGCATGCACTGTCTTCTTTCTCTGACTGAGTCAATCATTCTTATACATGATAAAAGTCTCTCTAAAATGAGGGAGGAAAAAAATTGTCCCCATATACAACTGATTTAGTGACATAATCTCAATTCAACATGCATACCCAAAACATGAGAATGTATGGCTACGTACATGCAACTCAGTATCTCCAATGTGGCAAGTAACGCCGATGTCTCGTGATGTTCTTAACCTGTGTAAGTACAGCTGAATGGGTAAGAAATGCTACATTTTTATTCTCCTGAACAAGCGTGCATATCCAAGAGAAAACGCCCAATGTTCCAGCACTAACTGGCATAAAGGTTTTCCTCTTTAAATTTAGTTTTTAAAGTAATCTGCAGACACTGTATGTTAAGAGTTCACTCCCTGATCCAGCACCAAGGAATACGAAAGACTATTCCAAACACCATTTACATCCTCAGAACTACTTGTCAGCTTCTCCACTACTGCAATCAAAAGTCTGAATTTTCATAATAAAACAAGTGTTTCCCTCAATATTTTTGCTTTTGCATACTTTATACCTGGCCCTAGCATTCAAGCTTAGCACACTTGAGGGTAGAAAAGAAGAGGGGACAAACTCAAAGACATACAATAACTTCCATCTCAGAAACTACATTAGGGCTCTTCAGCATGGAAGCTAGTAGATATGACAGAACTGTACAAAATCTTGACTGGCTTCAAAAATGTATACAGGGAACAATTATCTGCCATCTCTTTCAATACAGGAACAAAGGAATATCAGATGGAACTAGCAGGTTGGCAGACTGAAGAGAAACAGAGCACATAGTTGGATTTCCCAGTTTTGCTCAGAAAGCTAAAAGTTTATAGGGATTCAAAAAAAAAACAGATGGGCAAATTTACAGGGTATAAAAAAAAAAAACAAAAAAGAAAAGAAAAATATTCCATACAAAACTATTGACCACAGAGACAACTCAGCCCTAGAGCCTGGGCTGCAAGACAGGCACGTATTCATTCTGTGAAGCACCACTATATGTTTCCTCTCTGCTTACACACTTCCTCAAACACTTTCTGGTGTGCAGGGGTGAAACATAATTTTTACTTAACCCATACAATCACTGTATGCAAGCATAAACAGTACTCACTGAACACCTGCAAATAAACAACTTCGGTTATACTTAGAAAAATATAGTATTTTATAACATTGCACCCACTCAATATATTCACTACCTAGAACCAACCCCGGGAACTACTTCAGTACTCTGCTTCCCTAACAAAGCACACCATCAAACCAGCATGAACCGGGGGCCACGTTATTCGCTACCAGGCATGGGGCTGCAAGAGAAAGGACCAAGGGGAGATGGTCTATTCCTCTCCCTCCCCAATACACTCCCCTCT